CAGTTTCCAGACCTCTCAACCCACGAACACTAAAGCAACTTAGAAGGTCAGTGGGAAAAGTCTGTTTCTGCAGTGCTGAGAGAGAAGTGAGGTGGTCTCAGCTCCTTTCCCTGAGCATGGCCTGGGGTGGGGGCTGCCTCCTGAGCTTCCGGCCCACAGATTGAGGGGGAATCGAGTGGCTGATCAGAGGGAGATTGCAGGAATCTCTCTGCTGATGCAGGATTCTCTTGCTTTGCTGTGCTTGGATCTGGGTCACAGTTCTGGGTGGCGGTCCTGGGGCAAGGAACAGCACTTGTGCATTGGAGCTTGTAGTGGCTGTAGAAAGGAAATCTTCCTCACAGTTCCAAGGCAGAAATGAGTGCTTGTGGTCACTTATAGACTACAGCACAGGCCAGGAAAGTAGTAAACACCTCACCCTTGATCATGGCACCTTGGAAGAACTGAAAATTTACAGGTCCCTAGAATTATCTCTGAAAACAGCTGCGCAAAACCCCTGAAGCTTGGGACAGTACGTTCTCCACACTGGAAACAGATTCCTACCTTAAGAAAGAGTTTATAACTCTAGTAATTGGCCTGGATCATGAGCAAGCAGTGCATAAGGAGTCAGATTATATTATTTTACTTTGATGACAAAGAAGATCAAAACACACAACCAGAAGAAGACAACAAAGCCAAAGCTCCTGCATCCAAAGCCTCCAAGAAAAATATGAATTGGTCCCAGGCTATGGAGGAGCTCAAAAAGTATTTTGAGAAGCAAGTAAGAGAAGTAGAGGAAAAACTGAGAGTGATGCTAAAGGAGACCCCCAAAAAAATACTGAAGAAAATCACACCTTAAAAAATAGGCTAAACCAAACTGCAAAAGAGGTTCAAAAAAGAATGCCCCAAAAAGCAAAATTGGCCAAGTGGAAAAGAAAGTCCAAAAGCTTACTGAAGAAAATACTTCCTTAAAAATTAGAATAGAGCAATTGGAAGCTAGTGAATTTATGAGAAATCAAGACATTGTAAAACAAATCCAAAAGAATGAAAAATTAGAAAACAATGTGAAATATCTCATTGGAGAAACAACTGACCTGGAAAACTGATCCAGGAGACATAATTTAAAAATTATTGGACTATCTGAAAACCATGATCAAAAAAAGAGCCTAGACATCATCTTTCAAGAAATTATCAAGGAAAACTGCCCTGATATTTTAGGACCAGAGGGCAAGATAGAAACTGAAAGAAAACAAAATATGGAAGAGACTGGTGCTTAATCAATGCTAATAAATTGATTGATTGAATTGTATAGTTCAAGGAACCTTTGAGGAAACTATGCCTCAATCCACATTCCCCAAGGAGGAAAAGAAGAACAGAGAATTAATGCCCTACAGGATACCTTGGAGAGACTTAAAAATAGAACCCTGAAATCCTAACTCATTGAACTAGCACCAGACAATATCTCCCTCCACAGCTAGCAGTTGGTGAAGCATTTGGTGTGTTGATCCAGTGGGCTCTCAGCCTGTATTAGAAAAACTTCAACACATGAAGAGCAGCATTTGTTACATATTGGTACTGATTCTAATCTATTTAGAACTTATTTATGAAATATGCTTCAGCAGAACTGTTTTCTAAACAGAGCCATGTGGAGCATTGGCCATGCCTTTTCTGTCACAACAGTTGCAATTTATATACAAATGACTTGGTCTGAGGAGGGCATACAAGTTATAACAATACATTCTCCTGCTAGTCCTTTTCCCTTTGCCCAGAGAACATTCCTTTTGGGGCTTTATGTGGGACATATTCAATTCAGTGAATTTGATTGGAAGGTCTTCCAAGTCATAATAGATTGCAGAATTTCTAGAGTGTGAGGCAAAAAAAAAAGACAAAAAAACCCCATCAAGCTACCTAAGAGTATCATTATTCATACATACCCTAAATACCCAACATTAGAACTGTAATGAATTGGTCTTAAACTTTTTTTTCTGAAAGAAAAATAAATATAACAGCTGGAAGGAAAGGAAAAATAATTTCAGGGAGCATATAAGGTAAAACAAGCTCTGATTCATATCTACTGGAGAAGCAAAATAATTTCAAAGTGAAATGTGAATGAAAGAGGAATGGGAATAACTGGGGGGGAAAAGGATTTCAGAGAAAAGAAAGGTTCATGTAAGTGTCTTTTTTCCAAGGAGTTCGAAGCATTTCCCACCCATGATTTACTATAGAATCTCTCAAAGCAAGTGTACTGGAGGTATTAGGGTTGGACTTGCACACAGCCTGAATAAGCAGCCACCTATTTTGGGGACATGACTTTACAAACATTGAACTCTTCCTACCACAACTCTGTAATTCAGCCCCACTGTTATTCACCACTTTCTCTGTCAGAGGACCCTATGTTATCCTATAGAATTCTCTCTCACTCCCATAGGTAAAATCCCTGGAAGTCTCTGTTAAAATAAAAATGTGTCCTAGGAGAAGCAAAATATAAGAATTTATTATTCTAACTCAAATGGTTATTTTCAGATCATTCATTTCACAGGAATCTAAAGGGACTGAGGACTTAGGGTTGGCAAGTTTGATATATGAACTAGATAAGTTCCAGAGCCAAGGGAAGGCAGGTTGAAATGAGGCTGAGTGGTGGACAGGAGGATGAGGGCTGGCTAGTCATACCCTTAATAAAGGCAAGGCAAGGGAGATTCAAGCATACAGATTCCCTTTAACAAGAGTAGATATTTTTATTGAATTATTTTTAAGTTCCATATCTAACATATGTTGAGGTTAATGCATATGTTCACATAACAGGTAAGTTCCATTTAATTTGCGAATGCAAACAATCATTTCAACTAAACTGGGACACAAATTTTCAAAAACACTTAGATATGTTTCAAATTTTCCTGGACATATGACTGATATCAGTGCTATTCCTAGAATGTGACTTCAATGAGATATTTTCCCCCCAGAATATAATGAGAATAAGTTTAAGAGAGAGAGCCAACATGGTAAATTAAAAGGAACATTCACACTGAGCACTCCCAACATTTCACTGTAAACAGCTCTATAACTTGTCAAATAGAATTCTAAAGCAGCATAACAAACAAAAAATCTAGGTGACACACTTTTTTCTAGTCCAGGACAACTTAGAAAGACAGGAGAGGTCTGTGGTCCTGGGGTAGAAGCTGGCCAGGAGTGCAGTGAGGTGCCAAAACCAGCTGTAGGGCTTTGGAGGCATAAGCTGGCAGGAGGGGTTTGAGAGGTGATGGCAGCAGCATCTGTTTGGGGAATACTTAAAGTCCAGTTACCCAGACAGTAAATTCAGTGAGATTAGACACCTGGTCAGAAACAGATTACGGTAGATCCTTGTGCTAACACTAGGCAAAGGACCTGGTGCCATTTGGCAACTCCATTGCCCATTATCCCATTCCAGGTCCCAATTCCAGGATGGAGAGGAGCACTTGATCCAGGTTGTACTTCTAGGCAGGAGAAGAATTGTGGTCTCTGCATCTGTCCCTGGATTGTATTTACTTGGAAGTAGCAAAAAATTTACAGACCTCCAGAACTAGATGTGAAAACAGCAGGGCAAAAAACCCTGAAGCATGAGACAATGACATACTATCCTCCCCAGTGGTAGGCAGAGCCCAACTTTATCGTAAAGTTGGAAGTCAAGAAATAGGCTGGGAAAATGACCAAAAAGCAACAAAAAACCCCAACTATTAAAAAACTATTATGGGGACAGGAAAGCTCAAGATAGAAACTCAGAAGAAGAAAACTATGTCAAAACATCTATAAGCAAAGCCTCAAATCAAAGCACAAATTGACATAAGATTTCCTAGAAGAGCTAAAAAGGGCAAAAAATGATTTTAAAGAATCAAATAAGAATGGCAGAAGAAAAATTTGGAAACAAAATGAGAGAAATATAAGAAAAAAAATATATTGAGCATTTGATCCTGAGAAGAAAAGAAGAATTTTACATCAAACCATAAATTCAACAGTTTTGTTTTTTTTTTAAACACCAAATCCAGGAACCTAGAACTGTCTTAAATGATCTGTGCTTTCATTGCTGAGAGTACCTCATCAACAACCTATTAGGTTGTCAGGACCAGCCTTCAGGTGATGAGCCTTAATATACATAGAGGGACTTATTTTTAAATGACTGACCTAAAATTCAGGTTGGTTTGACCCTCATCTTTTTCAGACAGGACTTTAGAACCAATAGGAAGATATCCTTTCCTGGTAGGAATATGGATAATTCTGGACTGATGGAGTGGTATTACATGGTCATGTAGCATAGCAATAGGAGAACACGGTAAAATAACCAAACCACTTGATAGAGGAATGAAGAGGATGACATCTGTCATGAATTTAACTTTAGTTTGGCCAAGTTGGAGAGCACATCCTTTCTGAAATAAGAAACAGTCAGTGGAATGTGAAGACACCCCCCTTTTTTAAAATCACAACTATCCAAAATCTTTAGGGAATGGCATTATCTAAAACTGGGTTTATTGGATAGCTGAATTTATACATATTTAAATAATACAAATCATTTAATTTTAAATGTTTAATAAAATCTTTTAATTAAATTTTAGATATAAATTCTTCATTTAGCAAACAAAGTATATTAAACTCTATAAGACAGTAATGTGATACACTGGAAAGATCACTGGTTCTAGAGTCAGAAAGACCTAAGCTCAGATCCAGTCCTCAGACACCAGCTGTGTGATCCTGGACAAGTCAAATAACCTTTGTCTGCCTCTTTTTTGCCTCTGTAAAATCAGGATAATAATAGCAATTTCTTTTCATGGTTGTCATGAGGCTAAAATGATAGTGTTTGTAAAGCACTTCACAAACTTTAAAATATTATACAAATGCTAGTTATTGATATACTGTAACATTTCCTTAATGACATGACTCCATCAGGAATATCAGTTACTGTACTGTGCTATATTGGGAACTATTTAAAACGTCCAACAATTGCCTCTGTACTAAATGGCCCCAGATAGCAATGTTTTTTGAGTTCTTATACTTACCTTTTATAATTTTTGTCTCTTCTCTCGTTGCCATGATGTCAACCAGGACTGTGAGGGGACCATTCCAAACCATGAGAACATGCTTTTCAAAGGCCTGAGGATGAACCAAGAGCTAATTAAAAATTGAACTAAGTTCCAATGATAGATAGGTTTGTACAGTTTCCTTTTACTTATATACTTCCTTTTGGACATCTATTTGATTATAGAAATGAATACCAATTAAATATTCCAGGTATTCATTTGTTTGTTTATGATGTCTGTGTGAATTCACAATTCATCTCCTGCAGGAAAACACTAACCAAAAAATGAAAGCTTAAGAAATTTTCTTTGAGCCAAATTTTCCTCATACTTAATTTCAGGTAAGCAAAAAAATAATTTTGCTAAAGTAATTGGGCAATTTGTGGATGTGGCTGTTGTTGCTGTTGTTGTTGTTCCTGTTAAACTAAAAGTCACGTAGGAGGGATGAAAACAGAATTGAGAAGTATTTTGGAACATGATGTTCCATTTTTCTTCCATCTTTCTCTTGCAGTTTGACATGTTTTGGTTCAAAAAAATTCATGTTTTATTGGTGTCAAGTATTCCTTCAATCAACATAAATCATTGCTCCTCTATACTTTAGTAAACATTAGAGTCATAGTATTCTTGGCCAGGTCTAGTTCAGGGCATCTCAATGAATCCAATTTAGAATTAAATTGCAATCAAATTGTGGATCATCAAAGTCAATAAAAACAACCTTAAAATAAGACAAAAAAAGATTAAATTCCTATAAAATGATATCCCCCTCTCTTCCACATTCATCATAAAAAAGGGCAATGCTGAAGTGAGAAAGATATCTCTGCAGGAAAGTGGGGGTCTTTCTCAGGATTGTCATTTTTTAGCTTCCTTACTGTCAGAGGCATAAAAGACCCAGCCTATGAGGAGTTGGTGTTGGAGAACTTAGTATGCAACAGACTAATCCAACCATAACCAGATTGGTTTATGGCCCCCTTCTGTTTCCAGAAATCGAGATCAAGAATCTAACTTAGAAGGTCCTAAGGGGCCATCTAGTCTCATCTAACCAAATATGAAGGACTCCTTAGGGTAGCCTACACATGGTAGTTAAAGCTCTTCTTGAAGACATCCAAGGAGGAAGAAATCATCACTTTGTGAGGCAACCTACTCTAATTTTGTATAGCTCTGATTGTTAGGAAATATTTCCTTTAAATCGGCCTCTTTTTCTCTGAATGGGTTTTCCATATACACTTGAAATCAGTACAGCTACAGTACACTAGGGTTCTGTGTCTGAACATCCAGTTACTTGAAGCTCTCTATATTCTGCATCTCTTTCTTTCCACTTCAACAGTGGAATTAACCATGAAGTCATTGCAACCAGCCCTTGCTGGCTTATGATATATTTTTAATATTATTGTTTTTTTCCAATTACTTGTAAGAAGTATTTTAACATTCTTTTTTGATTTTGATGTCCAAATTATTTTCCTCTATCCCACCCTTCCCCTCTCCTTGAGAAGGCAATCAATTTGATATAGATTGTACATGTGCAGTCCTATAAAACATATTTTAATATTAGGCATGTAATGAAAGAAAACAGACCAAGACACGCGCGTGCGTGCGCACACACACACACACACACACATGAAAAATAAAGTTAAAAAAAGTGTGCTTTGATCTGCATTCAAATTCCATCAGTTCTTTCTCTGGAGGTGGATGCCATTTTTTCATCATATATCCTTCAGAATTGTCTGGATCACTATATTGCTGAGAATAGATGATGATACAATATTGCTGGTACTGTGTATAACGTTTTCTTGGTTCTCACTTCACTTTGCATCAGGCTTTTTTTTTTAAAGCATATGATAAATATTCTGGTCCAGGACTAGCTCACACATGTTGAATGATCTAGGCTCAGGATTTGAATCAAGTCAGACATTAGAAGACCAAAAAAGGCCATAAAAACAATTTTGCTTAGGATAAGATTGAAAAAGATACAGTGTTATTTAACTCTCCTTTTACATTTACCACAACACCACACTAGAGAGGAAAGACATCCCTGCAAGTCAATGGGAACCCTACTAAATCCTCTGGCACCAACACCCCACAGACTTGACTTTTTATGCCTCAGGCAGCAAGGAATCAAAACTAATGATGATCCTGAGCTCTTCCTTGCCCTCTTAAATGAAACTAGTCCAGCAAAAATACTGCTTCTACTACAGATAACTGAGAATTTTTGTGCCAGGATCAAGAAGCACCCCCCAAAAAACCCACACAAAAACAAAACCTCTTTAATATGGTAGGAGAGAGAGACAAAAATCTACTGCAATTAAGAGGACAAAAAGTTCACTCCAGTGGAGTTCATGATAGTTTGTAGTTTAACAAATTATTCATATTAACTGGGTGACAGATAAGGTGTGGATAGGGGCCATAGAAGTGGAAGATAGAGTCTGGCCCCCTTCTTCACTTTCAGCCTCTACCTCTTCCCCAAACCTTCTAATTGCCCTCTCTCATCAACATATTCTCTCTCCAGGTATGTGTTAATATATATCTCCCACAGAAGACACCCATGTGTTAGGGTCATGCTGCACTTAGGAAGGAAGTAGAAGAAGGGATCCCAGAATCATTTAGAGGTAGTATGGTGAAAGGAAAGGCCTAGATGTTCACTTTTCCTCATTCATCTCCTCTTTTCAGTTTTTGAGAAGGCCTGACCTCGGGGGAAAGAAGCCAGAGGACCCTCATGTGAGATGGAAGGGGAAGAAGCTTTTGGTAGTAGTTTATCTTCATGTTGACTGAATGCCCCCTCCCTACCCATCATAACCTGAGAAGATCTAAACAGGCTGGGCTATATACTTCTGAAGCTAGACTGACCAAACACTTGGTGGGAAAACTCTATACAATTTCCCCTAGTCCTATGCCCAGATATCTAGTGAATTTAAGCACAGAAGTTTAAGTGATTCAAGCACTACTTAATCAGAAATCAGAAAACCGTTCCCTCCCAGCTTCAGTTTAGGTGGGAGGCTGCCAGGATTTTGGGGCTGCAGTAGGCTTCAGCTCACTGACTGAGATTTAATGTCTGTCATCTAGAGATCAGGCTTATGAAAAGAAGAGATCTCTGACTCTGACTTACCTTAGATCCTCGGGTGACAGCAGTCCAAAGCCCAAATCCACAGCAAACCAATTTGTGTTCTGGAGGATCAAGAAGTTGCTAGCCAAGTTGTGGGTGTCAGTGCAAGAGGGGTTTCAACAATTGCATGTGGGGAGGTAGTATAAAGGGTGCTTCCCTGTGCATTTGGGGACTCATAATTATGCTACCCACCCACCTTGCAACACACATCTGTCAGGAAAATGGCTTTTGATCATCCAAATGTAGCACCTCCTGAATTCAGCATCCTTGGGAAAAGAGCTGATCATCTCAATCTAGTTATAGCTTTGTTCAAATGTTTTGATCATTTTCTATGGTCAAAATTTTAATCACTTTGTGACTGGCCTAGAGATAAAACTCCTTGAAATTAGCTAGCCTGATCCTCGAACAATAGACAATGTATCGCCAGATATAAATTCTAACGCCTTTCAATCTTGCTAGGACCTACCAGAACTTGCCAACTCCTCATAGAGCAAACTGGTGAATTAGAATGGAATGCTAGATTGGAACCTGGAGTCAGTCACCTCAAATGCAAAGAGGAGGGTCATTAGGAATTTTAATAGAAAGACTCAACAAACACTTGCAAGATCCACAATTTTGAAGAAGATCCTTCCTAAGAGATTAGATTATTAAGCTAAATTAGAAACCAGACACAGGACAAAGTTCAAGGAAATTCCTTTCCTCCTGTAAAGTTATTTTGGCTATGAACAATTTTATTTGTGGAAGGAGGGCAGAAATACAGAGGATTTTGAGAGGACTTAAGGGGAAAAAAGCAATGTTTAAAAGGAAAATGCTGAGTAGAACTAAAGAAAGTAATAGTTCCTCAGAGAAAAGAAAATAAGTTACTGAAGGAAAAGGTAGCCAAAGTATATTGTTTCCCATAAGGTTATTTACAAATGACTGTTGTTTGGTCTTTGAGGTGATAGCTGGAAAAGTTAGATAAATAAAACATTTTGTTAATAGTGGGACAATGGTACTTTGCCAATCTGTGGCATATTAGACAAAATGTGAATTCTGATTTCTCACTGTACAACAGAAGGGAGTTATTTCACACCAAAAGAATTTGATTTGAGGTAGGAGTAAATCAGTGACCAGAAACAAAAGATAAAGCAGATAAGACAGAAGAAACAAAGAAGAAAGTATTACATTTGGAAGTAGAATGGAATAGGAAGAAAAGAAAAGAAAAGCAGCTGAGTTGATCTGAGACTAGCCAAGTCCAGGTGAGAAGGCAACCTTTGTAGCTGCTGCTGGGAATTCATCTGGTTGGAGGACAGCTCTAGTGCTCCAAAGAGAGGGTAGGAGGAAAAGAAAATCCTGTGCTGATTGAAGAGCCTCTTGGGGAAAAGAAAGGCTAAGTTCTTTGACCTTTCATTACCACCTTTATAGCTGGAAAGGTGGAAACTCAGTTGAGATTTGTATGTCTAGCTTTTCTCTGCCACCTTGAGAAAGTCAAAATCCCTTCAGAGATCAGTGAAAAGATCTGAATAATACACAAATTCAAGATTTTGGGAAATTGTTTTGCACAGAGAGAGAAAATTTTCTTATAGCCCAACTAAGGAAACAGACCTAATTAGCAATTTAGATTTTAGGATTAGGGTCACTGTTTTTATTTAAAGAGCTTAACACTGATTCAGCTGCCAGAAAGTAGCAGCCCCCAAGAGAAGGGGATCCATGCAGCCAGCAAATGACCCAGAAGGGGAGTGGCCTCACAAAAGAGGTAATGCATGATGTAGAGTCTTTATTAAGAAGACCAAGGAGCCAAGATGGTGGAATAAGAAGTTGCTCTCACCCTCTCTTATTGACCTCTGAAAGCCCAGAAAATATCAACCCAGGAAAAACCCTGAGCCAGCAAAAAGATAGGGCACAGCATTCATGTAGCCCAGGAAGCTTGGGTGATTAACAGGAAAGGCCCCTCTTGCACTGGGGAAGGTGCAGCAGTACAGGAAGGGAGGTGTCCCAGC